CGATTGAGGGCCGCTATGCAGCCTGTTAGTTTCTGCACATCTTTGACACTTCGAGGAGGGCCCATCTCTGTTATTGCTCGAATCTGCTTGGTGCTGGCTTCGATTACACGATGACTGACCAAGAATCCGAGTAGTTGCCTTGAAGGAACTCCAAATACACACTTCTTTGGGTTCAATTTCCATCTCCACCTTTTTAGGTTTTCGAAGGTTTGCTTTAATTCTTCAATCAGTGTGTTCGGGTTCTTCATTTTTACTACTATGTCATCCACGTATGCCTCTACATTTTCACCGATCTAACCACCAAGGCACATTTGAATAGCTTTTTGGTAAGTGGCACTAGCATTCTTGAGTCCAAATGACATGGTCTTGTAGCAGTAGGCACCGAACGGAGTGATGAAAGATGTCTTGCTCTGGTCTTGTTCCTTTAATGCGATTTGGTGATATCCTGAATAGCAATCAAGAAAGGACAATAGGGCAGATCCTGCTATTGAATCAACTATCTGATCAATGCGTGGTAGCCCAAATTGATCTTTCAGGCAGTGTTTGTTGAGATCTATGTAGTCAACGCACATGCGCCACTCGTCTATATTCTTTTTCTGTACTAGAATTGGGTTTGTTAGCCAATCTGGATGAAGGATCTCTCTGATGAACCCGGCTGCCAATAGCTTTGTGATTTCTTTTTTAATTGCTGCCTTCTTGTCAGGTGAGAATCGTCGTAGTCATTGCTTCACAGGCTTGGAGCCTTCATTGATATCAATTCTGTGCTCAGCCAACTCTCTTGGGACACCTGGCATGTCGGTCCGCTTCCAAGCGAAGATATCTTTGTTGTCCCGAAGAAAGTTGGTGAGCGCGAGTTCCTATTTTGCCGAGAGGTGGGCACTGATGGTTGCCGTTTTGGAGGGATCACCGGTGTCCAGGTCGATTTGCTTGATGTCGGCTTCTTTTGGTGGTGTGAGGATGCTGAGCTTTTTAGCCGGTATCTCTAGTTCTTCTGGGTTCATCTCTGTGGCAATAGTGGCTATTTCTTTCCTACCACTTGCGGCTTGTGCTTTGGCTGCAATTTGAATTGTCTGAACGTCGCAGTCAAAAGCGCGCTTCAAATCACCTCGAAGGGAAAGTACACCGTTAGGTCCTAGCATCTTGAGCAATAGGTACGGGTAATGCGGTATCACCATGAATTTTGCTAATGCTGGGCGCCCAGGATTGTGTGATATGATGAATCGAAGTCTGCAACTTCAAACTTAATAAACTCTGTACGGTAGTTTGAGGGAGTTCTGAAAGTAACTGGTAGAGTGATTTTCCCAAGTGGCATGGCTGCCTTGCCGGGTACTATTCCATAAAAGGGGTGCTTGTTGGCGTAATCATTCCGGCGAGTTGAAGTCCCATCTTTCTTAGTGTTTCTAAAAAATGATGTTGAGCCCGGCTCCTCCATCAATTAGCACTTTTGTGACAGTCATACCGGTGATAGTTGGATCTAGAACCAGTGGGTAGTGGCCTACGTTTCCCACGCTAGTCTATTGGTCTTCTCTTGAGAACTGAATTGGATACTATGACCAATTGAGATATCTTGGAGTAGTTGGTTCTGCTGCCATGATAGTTCGTAGAGCTAGCTTTTCTTGATGTTTGCTTCTAGAATCTAGGACCTCGGCAAAGATCACTGCTACTGTCCCCCTGGATTTTAGAATCACTTGTCTTCGTGGTTGTCCTCGTCTTTTTTCTGATTGTCTTCTTTTGTGTTTCCCTTGCTATCTTTTCTTATGTATCGTTTATTGAAGGTGAAATAATTTCTGATGGTGTGATTTCCTTTAGGGTGCAAGATGCACTGCATGTTTTCAATGTCGTCATATCTTTTAGGCTTGGAAAACTTCCTTGACTTGTCAGCCACCGCTACGGAGTTGTCTGATCCACGTTTCCTTTCCTGATGTCTGCTGTTTCAATGATTTTGTCTGATCGGGTTGTCTCGGTTGCTTCTTTCCGGGAACCTTTCTCGCGTCTTCTCCTCTTCAGTAATCATCTTTTCTACTGTGTGTCTAAATTCTTCATTGTTTCTCGGGTTCTCTTTGCAGAAATCCTAAAATTGCCACCTAGACATGATTCCATGAGAGAAAGCTTCGATTACTTCTCGTTCGGTGATGTCATGTACTTGGGCACGTAGTTTGCCGAATCGTCGATAGTAATCTCTAAGACTTTTGCCTCCTTTCTGCTTGAGTCCCTTTAGTTCTGCGTGGGTGATGGGGTGCGTAATGATACCTATGAAATTTTAACAGAAAACTCTTTGCAAGTCCTCATAATTTCTGATTGACCCTGGATTCAATTTGTCGAACCATTGGAGGGGCATGGTTTTCAAGGCCATAGGAAAGAACAAGGTCTTGATATCATCGTCTCCTCCAGCCAGTTCAACCGATTGTGAGTAGATTCTGAGCCACTGCCTTGGTTCGGTCTTGCCATCATATTTAGAGTGGTTGGACGGTTTGAACTTGTGAGGTAGTCGTATTGAAGCAAGTTTGCTCGCAAAATAGGGGAATCTATCATGCGTCCCGACTTCTCTGTACTCTGATTTAGCACCTCCTTCCAGCCAACTGTCGTTTTGGTGAGAGTAGTTCTGCGGGGCTGTCCGAATGGGTGCTTCACTTCTGATCCGTCTTGGTTGTTCGACTCATTAGTTTTGACTGTGGTCCCTTCTACTTTCCCTGTTGTGACTTCCACTTGGCCCAAGTCTCTCGAATGCGGACTTCCTTTGATTTTGATCTTCCTTCCTGTGAGATGTTGACCTAGCAGGTAATCTTGAGCGGGTTCTTCCATCATGCGTTTTTAGGGCTGCTGTCTGGAGGAGGTCCCTAAGTTGTTCATGTAGCTCACTGGGATGCGAGGTCGTTCCAAGTTCTTCAAGTGCTTCTCGGATCCTGTTGTAGGGTGTGTTCACCGCACGTCTTTCTTCGACTTCTTGTTTTGATTTTCTTCTATTGTACTCGGCCAGATCTGACTCATATCTGATCCAAGCTTCCTTGCGCTGCCTAGCACGTCGTTGGCGTCCTTGTTTCAATTTATTTCTTCTTTCTCTGGCTTGCCTTTGATTCTCGGTCTCACCATCGTAGCCCTGAGCAAAGGGTGATATATTGGACTCAGATTCATCCGATGACCTGATGTCGGGCACTTCTGGGGGGGGATCAATGGTGATTGAGGACGACGAACCATGAGTACTTCCCATGCGTGAACTGTTTTGTTATTAGCGTTGGTTTCCATACTGTCGGAGTTGCTGATAACTTTAGTAGACTTCAAGGTCGCAGATCGAGTCTCCTTCTTGGTAGGGTAGAATTGCTGTTGTCGTCGTGCCGACCAGTCGGGTACTGCTATCCTCAGGAATAGAACCTGGCCAGTGGACGATGCAGTCTTGAGATGTTATAGTTAGTACGAGACCTTCCTGAGCTCCTTTCAGTGGCATTCTAAGCACCGGATCGAGAGATCCTTTGAGCTGTGCCTGATAAGACTTTGCCATATTGCGGAGTCCAAACGGAAAAAAGATCTGACTTCTTGAAAACGCTCTGAGTGTCCTCCGAGTTATATTCTTGATAGGCTGAGGCCATGTTCTGGAGTCCCATCGGAAAAGAACTCGGATTCTCGAAAGAACTCGGGTCAGACTCCATCTCGGATGCGGAGCCTGAGTTCGAGTCGGATGTGCAAAGCCGCGAAATCTGAGTTGAATCGGACGTCACGAGCTGTGTGAACCTTCCGGTGATTTGATCTGTCGTAGTCGCCGAAATAGAAATGTCTTCATGGTGATCTGAATCTTCTAGGAGACGGCTTTGGAGCTTGCCATCATCGCCTGCCTCGCAGATCCACGAGCCGAAGATGAAGGTTTATCCCGTCGAGAAATTCATGTTGTCGAGGTCCGTCGAGCTCTCGGATGCAAATTCGCCGAAAAGCGCCTACCTGGCGCGCCAGCTGTTGATGTTTGACCACCGATAGCCTACCACGGGAGTCCCCGGGGCAGTATATTCGGGCTTCAGCTTATGTGAAACTCGACGATGAACGCAAGAGACAGTCGATTTATCCTGGTTCGGGCCCTCAACCGTGATTGAGTAATAACTCTACGTCCGGTCAACGTTAGCCTTTACGTTGAATTGATTGTTGAGTGTTGTAAAGTTCCTCCTTTCCAGGAACTCCGCCTTCTTTATATACTCAGGAGGCCAGAGTCCTAGTCGATTTACCATGAGAGTTACTAGTAGGATTACGAATAATAATAATAATACTATTAGGATTACATAAAAGAATCATAGTTAGACTAGATCTTCTCTCTTCTTTGCGGGGTATCTCGTGGGTCCCGCATCGACACCGAGGTGTGCGGATGGTGCTACGACTGCTGCGAGGGTAGGAGGGACGCGGAAGGAAGGGAGGGGGCCTGATCCTCGCAGCGGGCGAGCTTGGTCGTGGCAGGAGCGGGAGGAGATGGGTTGCTGCTCGTGGGCTGCCGGCGTGCTGCTGCTGCTGCTGCTCGCCGTGGCCGTGGCCGCGTCGGGATGGAGAGAGAGGAGGAACAAGAAGATAACATGTGGGGCCCGCGTGTCAGTGATAAGGGAGATGAAGTATATGTCTTCGTATACGTCTACAACTAGGCTCAGGCTGTGTCCATACGTATTCAGTGGTATTTTTTTTTAGGAAACGAAGAATTATAATAACATACTTCAAAATAGATAAATAGTAATGACATTTCTCCGAACATCGAAAATTATAATGCCACTGATCCGAGTAGCCCAATAAACTTTGCATCCCCTTCCACACGCGCTCCCCCTCTCACTCGCTCCGACAAAAAACCCTAGACCTCCCGCCACGCCGCCGCCAGCCGCCGCCTCCCTCCTCACAGACAGCCGGTGGGTGTCCCCGATCGCTTCCTCCCGAATTTCCTCCACTCCTTCCCCGGATTCGTCTTGATTCGGTCTGTGTTTTCTGTAGGTTCCATCGCTGAGATTCTTCCTGTCAGGAGGTGTTGGGGGTAGCTGGCGATGGGGGTGGAGCAAGGCTACGACGATATGGAGGTGACCATCAGCGACTCTGAGGCGTTCAAGTATGTCGGGGAGGTGCTGCAGTCCGTGCGGATGGTACGGACCTTCCATCCTTAGCTCTTCGCCGTGCAATATGACAGGACATTGATTTCGGTGGCTTATTTGCTTTGGATGATGATATAGTATTCTCGTTGGGCTTGGAAGTTGGAAGTACTTAAGACTCTGTAGCTTCAATCTTTCTATACTTTACTTCATTGCTTCAATTATTGAGCATTCATTTTGGAGCTTGGCAAGTAAATTGGTGCACCTGCACCCCCTGAACTCGGACTATAAATTCAAATGCAATATGCTAGCTCTGCTTGTACTCCCACCAAGGTTTCTTAGGATTTAGGACGTTAGAATGTGATATAGAGAAGTGCAGTATCCAAACCTTGTATTGAGAAAGCACCCCCAAAAAAACTACTGATGCAGTTTCTGACTCCATTGTATCTCCTGCAAATTTGAAAGGAGGGCATGATCTTCAGAATTTCTAAGCATCCCCTGGATAACCACACTAAAGCAGAACCAGGTGAGGATTTGGTATGTTTGTTATCAAGTCCAGAAATTCACCAATTGTTGCCCTCTGGCTCTGCTTTTGTTTCGTATCAGCAGTGGCGGAGGGTGACCAAAAGCAAGGAGGGGCAATTACAAAAGCTACTACTGTATTACCTATCAAATTTCTCAAATCATGACTATAGGTGCAGTCCTACAAAGCATCCATGAGGATTATAGGATGTCATAGTTACTGCCCTCCCAGAGGAGGGAGGGGAGGCCCAGTTTCCCCTCCATGAGCCTCCGCCCCTGTGTATCAGTTCTGTAGATAAAAAAAAGGACAGACCCAATGCCGGAGGCTCCCACATGAGTGGGGTCTGGGGAAGGGAAAAACCGAGGCAAGCCTCCCCCCGCAAATCTGCGGAGAGGCTGCTTCGAACCCACGACCTGGTGACTCAGTGAGACAGCTCTCACCACTACACCAGGCCTGCCCTTCATATCAGTTCTGTAGATCTCTGGTCTAAATTGCTCCTATCTGCTAGAAGTTAACAACTAATTAAATGACATACATCTTTTGCCAGTTTCTGTTGATAGATTTGTTAAACATTAAAGTTTTGCGGTCTGAATAACAAGAGCAATAATGCATTCACTTATCGTGTTATGGAAAACATATTCTCCAGAACAAAGCCGAGACCTGCAGTGAACTTTATATTCCTGCTTTCAAGTTTGAAACTAAAGCTTGCTGGCGAAGACATGGCCAAATTCACCAGATGCATGTGAGGTGTGGAGTTAGGGAAATTGAAAGGTGATCATTTTCAAATTGCGGGTGTTTAATTAGCAAATGCAGGATTCTTCTGCTTTTTACACCTCAAAACCACTATATTAAGGAAGCTTGTACACAATACATGTTTTAACAGGTGGACAAATGTAAGTACCTGCAGTGTTTATTTGCCTTTCTTAGAGAGTAGGTAATAGTCGTGTTCTTTTTGCTTCTTGTAGCTATGTACTTCATGGAGACTGGAGTAATGCCTTGTCATTTAAAAAATAGAACCCAAAATACATAAATTATTTAGCAACAGTGTATGTCGTGTAAAATTTTCCTTTCTTGTCTGAGCTCAGTCTGCTGATTTGAGTACACTGCCTTTACTCAGTCCCCTACATTAAAGAATTCATTCCATTTCTCATTTTGCTATTGATGTCATCCAAACAAGGATTTATGAGAACTTCAGAGCAAAATTCTATTGTCTACTTTAATGAATTCCTGAGTTACTTATAGAATAGTACAATGTAAAGGTATTAACATGTCGATCTATCATTTAGGATCCATTTTTAATTGACCTAAGGGACAAAGATCAATATGATATCCTGCTAGGCCTTGTAGACCCTACCAAGAAAAGGAGTAGTGATGACGAGGCTATGTTTGTTGTAAGTTCTTAACTCTTAACCCTATTTTAGCTTGTCCACCTTTCCACACTTGATTCGTTAGTTCTGTTTCATGCTTATGCCCTACTTTTTTCCAGACTACTTTGAAGGCACTATCAGAAGCAGTATCCAAGATAGACACCATGTATCATCACGCACTTCTACACAATGTAATGTAATCCTTAGTGCTCATTCCTTTATTTTTGTCGAGTGAATGAAATGTTACTAAAATTATTATTTTTCAGATATTTACCATGTGCGTCTGGTACTTAAACAGCTACACAAGGTTGTGCTTTTGGATTTAATAACCAGATTGGTATACTTCCTCTGTTGTATATCCAGAGTTTTCTGCATTTGTGTGTGTGTGTGTGTGTGTGTGTTTCTGATTGATCTGTGTTTGTGTAGGCTGCTGTGGCAGACCAGTACCTCAGAGAATGTTTGCAGATGCTTGTGAATAATTTCACTCCACCTGGACCACTTATTCGTTACATTGAGGAGCCAAGGTGGCTTGCAAAGAAGGAAGAAATCTACTCTCAGTTGCAAGCGAGTTTGAAAAAGATTTCTGACACTGTGCCCTTAGCACCAAGGATGTTAAAGGATATAATAGATAGGAGTATGCCAAAGTTGTTTGATAACAAAGCTGTAAGTGTTATTTCTGTAGGCTATTCTAATTTTTCATTAGCTGCTGTGTCTGTTTACAGATAGTCCCAACTTACTTGAATTCTTGATAGGACATGCGTATGGTTCAGAAAAACTATAACCTCTCTCCATGTGTCTCTGTTTTTGTCCTTGGCTCCTTTCTTTCCTCTTTCTTTATTGGGTTGGGGGGGTTAACTAAAAAATTGGATGCAACCTAAAGTTGCCCGGTTTGAACATAGTGTAAAGTTATGTGCTGTTATAGCTATTTGATTTGATGCCTTTATGCAGTTTTTAGTACTTAACATGTTTTCTTCAGTCCGCTATCTTACAAACTTGTCTTCTTGCTGAGGACCTATTTGTTTAATAATACCATGTCCATACACTCCTGCTGTGCAGTTTTTACACATGCACCACTGACACTGCTCATGAGCAATCAATCTTACCTTCTGGGATTGTCTTTGCAGAAGATGGTATCATTTGTCGAGTGCATGTTGGGCCTTGATGCTGACGTTTGGGACATCATTGGACCGTCATTGTTGGAGAAAGTTGTTTATCTACTTACGGAATTGGATGTATGCTCCTTTCCTTTTGTATGGCTAGGTAATCTATCTTGGAACTGGTTTTTCTCATATTGATTGATTGGAATTATGCAGGTTAATATAACATGGGAAGATATTCTTCAAGATGAACACAACAAAGGTATATTTGACATGGAGCTTGAGGATTTGGATGAGGATGAAGATAACCTTGGTCAAGAAGGAACAAAGGTTTGTCATATTTAGAATGTTCTTTGCGTTACTAATTGAGTACTTCTAATAGGAAATGTCTGCACTTTGGTTAGGTCCTTTTTGGAGGAAATGTGTGTGCCGAGAAACTTGATGGTTTAATGGTGGTTGTGTGCGAGCACCTCAAGTCACGCGCAGAAGAACCTGATCGCCTAATTAAGGTGAGCACATGGCTGGAATCTTAACTCAAAAACTGAACCTTCATTTGTCATCTTTTTTTTGGTATAACTTATGCTATTTGAGAATATGAAAACATAATTATAGTACTGATAGATACATCGCCACAAAAAGTTAATAAGGGCTACAGTCATTTATTAATGGCAATTTTAGTTAAATATATGTGAATATGCCCATGTAGGTATGCATGGTTTCTTTGTTTCCCCCCTTGTAAATTTGCCACAAAATATTTTGTACGACTGTTCATGGCTCAGGACCTCAGGTTAACCTGGCTACCCTCACCAAACCCAAACCAAACTAACATGTAACATGCGTATGCAGTTACAACACAGGGCTGATCCATTTTGAGAAAGAGATGCTATGATTTATTTAGATGTGGTTATAAACCGCCGAACCCATCTGAGGAGTCCAGTGGAACTCAGAGACCCTCGATCCCATATAAAGTGTTATTGGAGAAAGAAATTGGGACATCAGCTACTTTGTGGCATGTACTGCACTGGTGGCAGCTTCTTCAGGTTTTGTTCAGTGTCGCCCTCAACCCCCTTCAATCCCCTCCAATCCCCACCAAACCAAACAAGGCCTCAAGGGTATGGCTGGTAGCTTCTCCTTCAGGGGTATTAGATGTTGGCTTCCTGGATGGTTGTCTTCTTCGACAATGGCCAGTATCTTCATGACATCTCAGGATGTGCTTCTCTGACAGCTTGAAGCTTAACACAGTGGCTATCCTGTAACCGGCAACAGCCATCACCTTGTTGACGAGATGTATTTCATAACCGTTCAAAGTTTTGTTTAGCTTTCTCTCCTTTCTAGCTTATTGATGCATCGTGTTTTGTGCTCAAGCTTCTCTTCCCTTTGCTGCCTTTGTTTGTTGACCCAAAGCTTCTTTCACTAAGGATTATTAGTCTTAATATGGTGTGATCCAAGGTCTTTAAGCTTTGGATTCTTAAAAGTTAGCTGTAGATGTGGGTTGTTAAAAGTTGTAAGCTGGTGGGATGCGCTTGTGTATTGTGGTGTAAATGTGGTTGGATTCTAACATCTGCTTTTAGAAAGCACCCATTTATTTAGCTTCAGCTTTTTGAACCAGAATCGTCAATATAAAGCAGAAACAAACAGGCCCTGAGGAATTTGATCTTTGTCTTGGTCCTGTATTTGACTTAACCTGGCTAGTAGAAACTGTCAGGACCACCAGACCAACCCAACCCCACAAGATAATCCAAGAGGCACCATCCTGAGTGGGACCCAAGACCCTAACCAGGTAAAGGTATGCAGATTGGGATGCAAAACAAAGGCACGCTGTAGAGCTGAGCTGTGTACAGCCATTTAACTTTGTGCTCTATCCTTAGGGTTGATTCTTTCGAGATTGTGTTTTTATAATTGTCAATTGCAACTCATCTAATGCTGTCTGAGAAATGTTCTATTTTGTGGTAGTTCATGACTTACGAGTGAATGATAAGTAAACACATATAAGCACTTCTGTTTTGATATTGCTCATGTTTTGTCTTGACTTGGACAGGAATTTAACACTTTGAAGGCTATATTTAAATCACATGTGCTAAGGGTGCACAAATCCAAATTTGCACAGGTTAAGGATTAACCTTCTGTAAAGTAGATTCACAATGTTTAGTACCCAACTTGTATTTTCAGTTGCTTTCTGCCTTGCCCTCTTGGATTGACACATTTATTTTGACTTTTGCAGTTTATCATGTTTTATGCTTGTTCCCTGTATCCAGAGATCTGCGGTGATGGGTTTGCTGTTTTTCTTGCCGATATTTTTATTGACAAGGACAAAAGGAGGATGCAATAACTAGGTAAGCCTCTTGTTTGCTATGCAAGGAGTAGATCCAGTAGGGAAACTTTCTGTCGGTTATCTAGGTGATTGGAGGCACCAGTGTTTGAACCTTACCTCTATAATGACCATTGCATGTTGTAAACTTGTAATCATGCCTTGACTATTTGCTCTGTTTTGATACTTTGCCTTACAGAGTTAGGAGATTTTGGCATCGTAGCTGTGTGAATAATTTATTATAGACATACTATCTTCACTAAAGTTTACTGCACTTGTGGTAAAAAGGTCTGGGCTTACAAATATAATCATTGGAGGAGATTCAGTGATCGAAATAACTAGCATATTTTGTTCTGAGATCGATTTGTTGCTAACCTAATACACAACCTGTGTGAATTGACGATTAAAGAAATGCCAATGATCACATTTGTTTCTCTAAGTGCAGAATGTCTGCAGTTTCATATGTTGGAAGCTATCTGTCCCGGGCAAGGTTCATTTCTGTAAATACAGTTGTTGCTATACTCAAAAGGTGGCTACACTCTGAACTTGCAAAATATTAGTTTTGAACACCTCACACAGTATCTACATTTTATGCTTTTGTACATCTGAGATTTATGTTACGTTATGTGCTTAGGTTAGTGGAGTGGTGTGGGGACTATTGTGGCTGTCAGCTGGACAAAGGGGTGACAGCCAATCCTATAAAACATCAATTATTTTATGCTAGCTGCCAGGTTTGTTATGCCATATTCTCTATGTATATTTAACTAAGCAAGAGAAGAAGTTGGTCAAATGCATGTTATTACTCAATCACCCCTGTTCCTGTTCTAGCATCATATGATTTCTGAATGTTTTATCTGCCATGTTTCTTAACCTGCAGGCTGTGATGTATGTCCTATGCTTTCGGTTAAGATCTATTATGGACTACCCAAATCTTAAACTACAACTTTTTCAAATGCGAATCCAGAATATCTTGGCCCACCCATTGGAGCCATTAAAGGTCTGTATCACACTCCCTACCACTTTCACTGTATCTTTTAGCAGCCACGCACTTGTGTTTTGCCTTTATATAAATACATAGTGGTAAATGACATGCCTTTTGATGCTATAGGTGTGCTTGCCTTCAATAGTGAATGAGTTCTTGAGACAGGCTAGGGCTGCAAGTCTGTTCCATGCATCTGTGAATTCAACACATGAAGATGCAGTTGAATCTGATCTATCGAAGGCATTTGGAGGACTTAATAGGCTTGACATGTTCTTCCCATTTGACCCATATCTGCTTAAAGAGTCTGACAGGTTTGAATATCAATAAGAGTGCCTTTCTAGCCAGTTGTAGTGTCATTATGTTCTACTTATATTGTGTGCTCTTGGAGGATAGTTATTTGCATATCATTCAATCCTGAACTTTATAAAACTGTTGTCATACTATTGCTATAACATCTATACCAGAAATTGCTAGAAATTTTAATTCCTATTGCTGGGTCCTCTTTTTTCTACTTATTATGAGCTCAACCAGCATCGTCTGAGCGGTGTTTTAATTCAGAAGCTAATTGTCCTTGTAATTAGTGTATATTAGTGTTTCCTGCCTGATGATCCATTGTATCCTTGCAGATATATACGCCCAAATTTTGAGTTCTGGTCCTTCGTCAAGACGACATACAGTAACAACAACAGTGACGAGGACGACGACGAGCTTGCCGACATTGACGCACCCGGAATGAATGTGGGCAGCTTGGATGATCACTTTGAAATAGATTTTAACAATGACGATGACATTGAGTATTCGATGAATAAGATGTCCATAACACCGCACCGCACTTTCTACCATCCACTGGCTACAAACAGTGAGTTCAGCAGCATGCCTGCGAGGATCAGACCTTCCGCGAGCCCTCCATCATAGCTGGCCATCACTATTCTGTTCTGGTCAGCTCTTTACTTGACTGATGATGACAAAGCCAGATGCTATGAAGTTGCACGTGCCAAGAAGGAACCAGGGGATGACCGATCAAACAAATACCGGAGCTTTTGATTGTAGTTGTTAGTAGGGTCAAAACCCATTATTCTGCAGTTTGTAGGGTACCATTAAAATGCAGAGTGTATATGTGTTTCAGGGCACATTGTGGAAAATGGTTGTGATTGTATACTTGGTTGGCACCCCTCAGGGATGTGTATTAAAGACAATGTGTTATGACGTGAAATGGTTCACCGAAAGTATTCTCTTGGGGACATCAATGGTCTAATGTTAGAATGTGGAAACAGTTGCCTGTTTGATGGGCAGCCAGTAACGTAGTCAGTTTACAACTGCGCGGAATCTGTGTCAACCACGCTCCGCCTAACAGCGTTCTCGTTGACTCGTCCGGAGCAAGTCCCTGTTGAGCCCTTGTTGAGGGATTTGATCCAGACGAGTCGGGTGGGGAGCTTCATCTCGCACTGTGTTGCTTGAGACTTTCAACCTGGACTCTATCGACCGCCTTCTTGGTGATGTCAAGTTTGGCTTGAACATACATAAATTGCTCAAAAACCCATAGATGTCAGCCGGTGATTTGGTGAAATCGGGTCTAAATCAAATGGCACCAACCTCATATAGCAGATTCTCTAGGAGTTTTGTGGATCTCACAAATGAAAGAATACCATAAAATTAGACTGTTGTGAATATTCTTAAAAGAATAATCTTGAAACTCTTTATCAGATGGACTTTTTTGAAGCAGGAGAGTTTCTCTGTCGACAACCCAGTTTTTTTTTTTTGAGCCTTTTACATGTGCCATTATAAAAGTTGATAATTACCCATAAGTCATTAAAAAGTTTGAGTGGTCATAGGTGCCATTGGTCTAAACTTTTTTTTTTCTTCCGAGCCATTCCGTCCGATTTCGCCGATAACGGTGTCCAACATGTAGATGAAATGACCATGTTGCCCCTAATTCAATTGGATTCCTAATTTTTCCAGTTTCGTCCTGTGCCATTCGCTCGTCCTGCGATGCTAGCCTCTTGTGCTCTGGCCTCTCCGCGTCGCTGAGCTCCACCTTGCCGGGCGCGCCGTGCCCATGCGTCATCTTGGTGATGCCCACCGCAACGATGACGGGAGGATGCTGACGGCGAGCACGACTGCCCCAACCATGTTCACCACGCACCCTCCACACCAGCAGCAGCGGTGGGCGCTGCCGAGGACCAAGATAACGATCTGTGAGGTGCTGGAGCCTGGAGGTGACCGTGTTCTTTGCAGGCGACCAGCCTGTTGAGGCGAGCGACGCGGCGGCCAAGGCGCGTGCGACAGGGCTGGACGAGGCGCCGACGGGCGGGCTCGCCGCGCAGGCGCGTGTGGCCGCGGACGCCGACGCCCAGACGGAGCGCGAGACGGACAAGACCACGCTGCGCCAAGTCCTCGCGGTTCGCCACACGTCCTTCCTCGCATGTGCTATGATAGTCAAATTAAGCTGGCGACCCATCGGTTTGTCCCAACAAGGAGGTGGAGCGGGAAGACGCGGAGCGGTAGTGGGCGCGGAGGTGCGCAGCGACCCTGACGCGGCCAGGCGGGATGGGCGCGTCCATCGCCGCCGCCGCGCGGGTGAACCGCGGCCGGCAGTCACTGCTAGCTAGGCCGCATGGAACGCACGTCGACGATCCTACCGACCGATGACGATACACTGCACGCTTGTTGCTGATTGCAGTGTAAGTTTTGTTTGCAAATGTGCTGTAGAACATGTATCATGTATGCATACGCACGCCCTCTTACTTGATAACAACAAGTTGTAAACACATGGATCGTGAGACGGAAAAAGCGACAGAAACAATCAGATGTGCAGCGAACCTGCTTATGCATTTGACGAGCACACCACCGTGCAGGCGCACGGTCGGCTCAGATCGGATGTAGCATGTCGACGAGCAACGAAAGGCACGCAGAGGGAAGCGGCCGTCACATGCCGCACGCGGACGCATCCATCGCCCGCGGCCGCTGGCAGTGGTCACCGCGCACCTACAGCCTACGGGCCCCACCGAGCCGAGATGAGCGCGCGTCCGTCCAGCCTTCCGGCGCGGTCCATCAGGTCCACCATGCAGCCATAGCGCTGCGCGTTGGGCGTGACCTTGTACTCCAGCAGCATGCGGTCGAAGCACCGCAGCCCGTCCCCGTCGAGCAACCCGGCGAGGCTGCAGGCGTTCAAAACGGCGATGTACGCACCCGAGAGCGCACACGCCGCGTCGCCGCGAGCAGCGGGACGCGGTCGAGGCCCAGCTTGATGTGCCGGGCAGCGAGCGCGTTCCTGACCTTGTCCACGCTTCGCGCCGAGACGGCCGCCGCCGCCAGAAAGGGCTACGGAGAGAGATAGGGTTGGGACAGAGAGACAGCACCGGGGTATTCTGCAGAATTTCGTTGGCCGGTCCCACCTATCCGTGAAAACCAAATGGAGATGGAATGGCACGAAGGACAAAAAAAGTTTAAGTCAATAGCACTTGTGAGCGCTTAAATTTTTTAATGATGTGTGAATAATTATCAATTTTTATAATGACACACAGTAAAAGTCTCTTTTTTTTTGCCCAGACATGGCATTCTACGCAGGTTCTTAAACTGGGCAAGAAAAAGATTAGGCTGCACCTGACTTATCTTGTGGTAACTATGGCTCCAAGCCGGCGCATATCGGGCTGCACGGCCGTGTGGGGAATGTTCCAGACTATGTCCTCAGGGCCAGCCAGCTTCAAGGATAAAGAAGGAAGCTATCCGCGGAGAAACCAGGCCATGCAAATGGCATTGCTCAGACTTTGGGGAAGATTTAGTGCCCAATCAAAGGTATTAGGTGCACAGACCTTGGCTGCAATTTATTTGTGATAACTTTCCTACAGCCCGGAGGGGAAGAGAAGGGCTATTGAGGAGGGTCCATGGGCTTTTTTTTGATAACTTTTTGTTGACATATAGAGTTCTACTACTACTTATTATCACACAAGTTATAAAACCTGTGTCACGTAGAGTTGGAATTTTGATTAGACTCCGCCAAGGCTGAGTCGTAGAGTCCGTCGCCAGCCAAGGCTCCGGTATTCATACCAAAGTTTTCAGTTTTTTTTTAACAACCAAAGTTTTTTTTTTAACAACCAAAGTTTTCAGTTGGATACCGGCCAACCGTCACATTACTGCATACTCCATATACCTTCGAGATCCAAAGTAAACTCGGTGTTCTCCCCGGCCCCCTTCTCTCTGATCTCGAAAATTCACAAGCCATGGCCGCGCTCCCGCTGCGTGCGCCTCCCCCCGCGGCCGTGGCCGCCGCGTCCCGTATCTCGCGGCCGTTCCACGGGGCCATGAATGCCCATCCGCTGGGCCGGCGAGGCCCTCGTCGGCGCCGGTTAAGTTGCAGGTCCGCACGCGCGACTCGTTTCGCTCCCACTGCGAGAAGCGTGCCGATCGACTCAATGAGCCAGATCCGGAGCCAGAGAACCACGATCCCGATAAGGTAAGCCCGCAAACAAGAGCTGTGCAGAACAGGTCGATCTCTTCGAGTGCTGGAACTTATCTTTCCGTTTGTTTCCTGTTGTTCCTCCAGGCCGCGACCCAGCAGAACTACCCCTTGGTGGAGGAGCTACTCAACTACAAACAGGCACTTTTAGCTGCTATGGGCGTGGTAAGTGTTTCTGGCGATGGTTATCAACCACTGGTAATTTCGTATTGTTAGGTATGTTTGACTTTGTTATTAGTTCTGACGCATGTCACTGTTTTATATATCACAGCGGGTGCCTCCTGATATGTTCCTTAAGGAGAAGGAACGAATTTCTGACTACTGGCTGAAGTTGTGTCGTTCAGCTGACGGTCGGGTTAGTTCTGTTTGTATCTCAATCACGTTGGAACAAGTCCGACAAATTGCTTTGTTACTACTACACTAGTATATAAAATTTTAATTGTTCAATGTTGAAAACGAACCGCTAAGTTTATTAGTTTTTTTTAATCTGATGTCATTAGCATTCTTTACATATTGGATTTAAGACATGTTTGTAAAGCAAGGTCGAGCGAGTTTCCAAAGACTAGATATCTAATTATCTTTTCCTCTTTGTTTATCTGCTGTAGAATAAAGATGAAAGGGTAGTGGCAAAAATAGTTTGCTCAAGAGCACAGGAAGCTTTGGATTTGGCTTCCAAGGTCATGGTAAGTGGGCCTAAGTGTCCAACTATATATATTTTTTTGCTCCTTTATTTATATATAGGCACAGTATGCAATAATTATTTTGATTTTCTTAACTTGCCACATCCATCGGTTGTTTTAAAACCACCTAGGATATTGCACATGACGGCCCTGGTACAATAGAATTTTCTCAACATGCATGCCGTGCAAATTTTTTAAACAGGACAGCATCGATGCGGTACGACGCACGTTCGACACTGCTCATCTCACATGTGCGAAACAGGGAGCTCGCCAAGCCTCCACCCGCGGTGCTCCCGCGCAATTTCTAGATATATACTCCGTACACTTCAACTTAATATCTCTGAGAAAACCGATCACTCGAGTTTCTGTTTAGTTTTCTGTAACTTTTCTGAGAATTTCTATACAACCTTTTTTTTTGCCGGTGTTAATTGTTACATATAGCCTTTTTTTAGATAAAAGAAAGTGCACAGTTTTATATGAAGGTAGGTGTTCTGGTCACCTCTTTGTCAAAGCTTTTAAAAACATTTTTCCCCTTACTAAAGTTTACACGCCACTTTCCCTAAACAAATTCCTAGTTTTACTTCGACCATTTTCTAAAGAAACAACGTAGTTTTTTTTAATCTTCATTCCCAATTTTTTAATGTTAAGTTTTCTAAAGATACTGTGTTTGTGAAAGTTTTTTTTTTGTATAAACTAGGAGTGCGTTCGGCTGGCTGGCTGGGCTGAGCCCGGCTGGCCAGCTCACTCACAGAAATACTATTTACGTCCAGACAGAACAATATTTTTCTCTCACAGCAATCAGCCGGAACAATATTTTTTTAGTCCTGCCGAACAGGCCCTACATCTTTAAGCCTTGCCGCTGGTCTAGCCGGCTGCTGGCCCCACGTGCCACACCGTCCGTCATCCTCTGTTGTGTGCTTGCGACCCATTTACAACTAACATGATGGTGCTTGCATTTGCATTGCACGCCATTGGTCCGCGGCGTGCGCTGGTCAGATCAGAGCAACCGCGGCGGTGCTTCAACCGGACCCGTAGGGGGAGTTGCCGAATGCAAAGTTCCTGTCTCGCAACGCGTTAGGGTTTTAGGTAGTGTTTGGTTAGGTGTATGGAGATGGATAGGATGGATCATCGATGGAGGATGGATGAGACAATTCTGTATGAGATGGTATGGTTTGATTGTTTGGTTACGTGTACGGTATAGTACATGACTTTTGTTTGGATGGTTGTGTTGAATGGTACGAGTTAGTACAAGATCATGTTTGGTTAATTGTATGGGTCCATCTAAGATTTTCTTTTGTAAGACATATTTGTATAAATTTAGTAAGAATGCAACAATTGTTAAAAAAATAATAGATGGATTTAAGAAAGAGAAGTCACCATTAAATTACATTAATTAATAGCCTCCTACAATAATCACTTCTCATGGTGACGTATACATTGAATGCATATAACAAAAGTACACTCGTTCTTCGCTACTAGACGTATTCATTTCCTGTGTGCGTGCAGCTACGAGCTGGCCCTCCGCTACCTGCTCAAACGCGTCGACCAGACGACCACGAACCGTCTGCCCCGTCTGACAGCAGCCACGCACGCTCCGTCCGGTGTCTGGATGGCGTCGGTCGGTGATCCGGGACCAGATCCTCTGCCGTCGATCCTCACGCCTGCCGGGTGCAGTCGCTCCATCCCAGCCGTTCCCTGCCATCCAATGGACCAGCTGAGCCCAGACGTTCCACCTCCTCCGTGCGTCGTTCCGGCCCAACAACACGGCCTCTTATAACCGTAAAAAGCAGCGGCGTTTCTTCTTCTTTTTTTTTTTTGGCGCGACAGCTCGCGTTTGCCTGCGAGCTCACCATCTGGTCGCCCTCCCAAAACAGCATCGCCCGTCGGGAGCTCTCCTGGAACCAAGACCGCACGAAGATTCAAAGAACAATAGGCCGTCGTCGTCCTCGCCGCCGCCGAGGCCGCCATCGGCGTCGTCGCCCTCCGCGCGCGGCACGGCGGCGGGCTTTCCACTCGTCGGCGAACTCGCGGTTGACGCGCGCCCACAGCTCTGGGGTACCGGTTGTGCGCGGCGCGGTCCTCGTTGGAGGGCAGCCGCACGTCCAGAGGCAGGCCCTCGTCGAAGTCAGCCATCCAGCCGCTGATGCCGTGGTCCATCATCCCCTGCAGGAACGATGCTCTTGAACCGGGCGTGCGCCTCCGGGTTGGTGAAGTCGAGCATCGACGTCAAACGCCGTGTTGGGCATCATGTATGGCTCGCGGCCTCGTCCCTCACCACTCACCAGGATGCCCAGCTTCTTGTCTTCCTCGAATAGGTGCCTCTTCGTGTTCGGCTTCTGATCCATCTGAACAAGAACAAACCAACGTTTTGAAACAAAATTCAGAACCCCATGCACACCTGCCCTGCTCGTGCTCGTTTGCCATTGATAAGTGGAGTACTCTGCACTCCTAGATCTTTCTCTCTACTCTGCACACCTAGACTGCTCGTGCTCCGGGTGCCCATGAGGTTGACGTCCACCATCCGCCTGATCTCATCCATGTCCTGCCTCTCAAGCTCCCGCGACGCGAACACGCCGTGGTTGCAGACCACCACGTCGACGGGGCAGGCCTCCTCGAGCGCTCGCGCCACGGCGGAAGCGTCCCGCACGTCGGCCGTGTGGACGCCGACGCCGACGCCAACGCCGTTGTCGCGGCCCGTGTCATGCTGGATGAGCTCGCGAGAGCGACGGCGGTGGAGGGGAAGGAGACCGACCGAGTTGCGACGGCGGGGGACAGAGGACCGATGCTTGCGTTCTATGCTTAACGGGCCATGTTGTTGGGCCCGAACGATGTGCGGAGGAGGTGGAGCGCCTGGGCTCCGCTGGTCCGTTCGATGGCAAGGAACGGCAGGGATGGAACGACTGCCGGATGCAGTCGTGAGGGTCGACTGCAGAGGATCTGGTTCCCGGTGATCCTTGCCGCACACGACCATACAGCATCAATCGAGAATATTCGGTGGCTTCGGATCGTTCAGTCATGGATGGGTTCATTCAATCCAGCAACCAAACAGTAGGACACGTGGGTCCCAGGCACCTATCCAAGATCTACCGGTGCTGGATTGGTCCTAGCAACCAAACACTGCCTTAATGTTTTTAACAAATAATATATATATAAAATGGGCAACTGTTGGTTGCAAAAAATGCTACCAGATATTTGAATATCATTATTGGAAAAAGAGAGAGAGAAAATATATAATGGCAAATTTGCAAATACTCCATTACAGAACGTCATCAGAAATAGTGGGAGAGTAAACCTTTTGAGCATTTAGCATTATTTAACTCTTCCTTTTTGGGTAAGAATATAGACATTCAGTATATATCTCCACTAATCAACTTTTGAGCGAGCTTGCCAGGCCAAGCAAGGATGAGGGCCGGCGCTGCGGTGGCAATGGTCTGCCAGAGATGCAAGCTGGCACGACAAATTGACATTCATCGCAGATGGAGGAAACTGAAGAAAAAACTCGACGATCTGATGATATCATCACTAACTTAGAGAAATGTACCACACGGCACAACAGAAGCCAAGTAAACTGAGATAACAACGTGCGCCATGGCACATGCATGAGGGTCTGACTCAACTCAAGTAACCAATACTGATAGTCATGCCATCACAACACTAGACATGGAAGACAAAGCAACAGACCAAACAACACTGCTGCTACTAGTAGATAGATAAGGCCCTGCTTGAAGTAGCTTTGATCCTGGGCACGATCACCATCTTGTTCTGGCTAGGAGGCGAGCAGATCTGTTCCATGGAAACAAAGTACAATACAATGGCCCCGTTCGCTTCGCTGAAAAAACAAGCCGAAACACTATTCCGGCTAATTTGTTGTGAGAGAAAAACACTGTTCCGGCTGAAAAAACAAGCTGAAAAGTACGGATTATAAAACAAACGAACAGGGCCATGAGTCAGAAACTGATCGAGCTAAGAAACGGGGAAAAAATTAATAATAGTGCAGAGACTCGTCAGAGTTAAGAAACTGATCGAGCTAAGATTGTTTGTTTGATGCTTAGCTACAGACAACAACTTGTTAACTGATGATAATTAATAAGACAACACGAGGTAAACTGAATTCAGATGGTTGAGTCATAGCCCGACTCAAATGACCAGACAAAAACGAGCCCAGGTATGTTATACATTTACCTATACAAGCCCGCTAAGAAACCACCGGGAAACCCCAATGTTTCCAACCGTCCATCCGAGACTCGTCCCAGATTTGTTAAAAACTTCTTGCATCACTTCAGATGCTTCTCGTTGGCTTTGCTTTGATGCTTCTCCCTTCTCTTCGAATCTAGAGAACAACTTTCACAACTGCATCTCTCCCGTCCTAATTAATAAGACAACACGAGGCGCCCGGCTGAATTCAGATGGTTGAGTCCGCCCTCCTCCCTCTTCCTCCTCCCTCTCCCCCGCCTCTCCTCTCTCCAACGTGGTGTGTATACCATTAGAGACAATTTGATGGCCCAATGAGCAGACGACGGCAGACACAATGAAAACCACGGAGTGCCATGACCAGCGCACGTGGCCGTCGCCGCACTTCCCCCACGCTGCCTACCACCGTAAGAAACCCTAGTATCAACAGGTTCGCTAAAACGAGTAGAGTAAAAACCATAGCTTTGGGGGCTCCACTTTGTCACCGATTCCCAAACCCTAATTTTTAGGGCGCATTTCTTATTATTGTTTTGTTTCCTTTATCAAGATTTCCCGTATATATTCATGTCCAGAAAATTTTGGTCCTTGGAAGGATAAGAGATGTTTAGTGTTGTTTGGGATTTCCAAAAGCAAACCTATTTTTGTGAGCTTGATACTTGATTCAGTCCATTTTCCAATTTCTCCTGCCTAGGAAGGTACACCTTTTAGGTTCAATTTGACAGTTCTCTAATGACAAAGAAAGGCGAGCACGACAACATATGTGAACATGGATGATAAGAGATGATTAGTGCTGTAGTTGGAATTTCGAAAAGCAAACCTATTTTTCAGTGAGCTTGATAGTTGATAGCTTGGTACTAAGGTTTTACCATTTCAAAGTTACTTCTGTATTGAGTATAGTTACTAATGTCAGACCAGTTTCCTGTAAAAAATGGAAGCAGGTACTGCCTTCCATGGCAGGGAACATGAAGTGCCAGTTATTTTAAGGGTTCCCAACTCATATGTTACTTAATCAGGATATCTATCTATAGTATGAATCCAAATGCACGGGTGTTTAACTCTACAATAGCACGACCATGATTTATTTAGACTACCAAACATTGGTACTGCATGTTAGCCAATTTGTGAAATTTGATGCTTTGGAATTGCCTTTGAGAAATACACCTATATGTTAAATTGAAACGA